TATCAGTGTTGGCCATCTATCAATTGCTAATCTTTTAGTCATTGTTCATGGTTGGTTTAGTGTATTTCTACTGGGCTGTGGCTCACCCTATATGGGAATATCATTTTCAGGTACAGGTAGCATGCCACCTCCAAGGGCATAGCTTGGGAGGCTAGAGGCGGACATACTTTTGTCGTTTTACTTTTTGATGTATTACATGTAAATTCAAGCCAAGGGCTTAATGTGTATGAGTTAGTACTCTTTTGTTGTAACCAAGTGTTAACTTGGAAAGCTGTAAGCCCTTAGGGCCTTTGCTTTTGTTGTTAACATGTAATACTTATGTAATGGAATTCTGATAATTGGAAGAATATGGAACTTTTACATATCAACGAATGTCTTATTTGATGGGTTTAATGTTATTATTTTGAGGGCGTTACAATGAATCGCTCCTTGTGGTTTTAAAAATTACATTACACTCCCTGAGATTTCTAATTTTATAACAAATCACCTTTTTTATTAATAAATTATCAAATCAATTGACAGTTTTTAATGATGTTAGAAATATGTTTCAATTAATAATTTAAGTAATTTTATTATTATATAGAAAAATAAATATGAATTTTATTTTTTTAGTTAATTATGTTAAATAAAAATTTCTAACAAGGGGGTATTTGTAATTTTTCAAATCACAGAGGGCAATCTGTATTTTAAGCAAACCTCAGGAAATGTATTTGTAATTTACCCTAAGAATTTTTAATAGAAAAATTTTAAGTTTACATTATGGTACAATAGAAAAAATAAGTAAGCAATTATTATACAACAAATATTATACAAACATATTTTGTAAGGGTAAGTTTTTAATTATCTTTATTAAATGAAAATGAAAAAAGAGATCATCATCCAAATTTTTGTATAGTAAATGCAATATTTTGTATAAGATTTAGAATTTAGAATAGTAAGTATTGTATAATTAAACAAAGTGAATAAAAAAAATAGTTATTGAAGTTTTTAAAAGACTTTTTTTATATCAATCTTTAAATGTCATCTAGGACATCACGATACACAACATTTTTTGTGTAATTTGACGGTTGGTTAACCTTATCAACAATCAATATCTTCAAGACTGATGGTGTAGTAACATACAATAAGGCAATACATAACTGACTGTGGGAGAATACTGGATTAGAAAGCTATACGCCAAAAACTAAAAAAAAGATTTTGTAACAAATCAGGAATGAATATTTAATAAATTATAAAGTAAAAAATAAAAACAGAAAAATAAAAACTCACAAATATCTGTATTGGTACCCATCTATTACTTGACTAAATAAGTTTTTTAAAAATGTAGAGATTGTCACAATTCACACAAAAAAAATTTCTCATCATGTGATCAAAACGGAGTGTCCAAAAACTCAATCACAAGTTAAGTCAATTGATATTTAAAAAATACAATAATTTTTTTTGTTAAAAAAACATAGTTAATTAAAGACCCAATTACAATTTTTTGCAAGACAACATATAATCTAATCATCAAAAAAACATAGAAATCGTCACAACCCAAACAAAGCAACGAAGTCAATTGGTAATTAAAAAATACAATTATTTCTTTTTTCAAAAAACATAGTGAGTTAAAAACCTAATCACGAATTAAGTTAATTGATAGCTAAAAAGCACAACAATTTTTTTCAAAAAATACAATGAGTTAAAAAATCAAATTACAAAATACAATCTAATCATCATCAATAGTGGGTAGTTTATGCGAACCTAATGAATACAATCCAATTTTTTTTCCTTCAAAAAAGACAGTTTAAAAATACAATCACCGTATTAGAAATTAAATTACGTCCAATCACAATCACAAGATACAATCTAATCATTATTAATAATGGGTATTTTATGTGAACCAAATAAATACAATTTAATTTTTTATTTCAAAAATCACAAATTAAAAATACAATCACCGTGTGATTGTATTCAAAAAACATGAATACAATCTATTTTTTTTCAAAAAACACAAATTAAATGGAGTGCAAAAAAACACAATTAGTAAAAAAAATAAAATCACCGTGTGATCAAAATGGAGTGTAAAAAAACACAATTACATTTTTTCTCATAAAAAAAAAGAAGCAATGAAGTCACCATATTAAAAATTAAATTAAGTCAAATCACTATCACAGAATACAATCTAATCATCATTAATAGTTATGTGAACCTAATAAATACAATCTGTTTTTTTTTCAAAAAACATAAATTAAAAATACAATCACCGTGTGATTGTATTCAAAAAACATGAATACAATCTTTTTTTTTTTCTCTATCAAAAAACACAGATTAAATGGAGTATAGAAAAACACAATCATTAAAAAAATATAAAATCACTATGTGATCAAAATGGAGCGTAAAAAGCACAATCACATTTTTCCTCATAAAAAAATAGAGTTAATTACCTAAAAGTCCTATTTAGGAATGTTATGGTAGCTCAGGTTCCATTGAAGAGTTTTTGAACCAATAAGTCTTATTTAGTAAAACTGAGAATATTATCAGTTTTTTTTTTAATTTTTAAAATTAAGAACGTTATCAATTTTGCATAATAATATTCCTATTTGGGAATGTTGCAGTAGCTTAGGTCCTATTTAAGAGTTTTTGAACCAGTAAGTCCTATTTATTATCATTTTTTTCAATTTTCAAAATTAAGAATATTATCAATTTTACATAAGAATATTCTATATAATTGTTTTACTAACTGATAAAAAAACAGAGCATGAGATTAAACGTTTTTACCTTTTTATTTATTGGTTTGATTCATCTATCTAACAAAATCGAGAACATTATCAATTTTTTCCAGTTTTAAAATTGAGAATATTATCAATTTTTTTTAAAGTTTTTTTTTTCTTCTAATTTTTCACATTAATGTTCCAACATCATGCTCTTTTATATACATAAAATTTTCAATTTTGCCAAAAAAATAATTCATTTTTTCAATTTTTACGCAAGTATTGGTGATTGGTTCAGTGATTTATTTGTGTCGGTACCATTCGTTGGCGACTTCTACGGCCTTGGATTCTTCAGATTGGTTTTGCAAAACGTCATTAGCAGAGAGGGTGGGAATGAATGCAGCGAAGGAGAAAAAAATGACAAGGATACAAGTAAGCTTGATAAAAATTGAATGGGACTTGAAAGTTTAAAAAGTTTTAGTTAGGACTAATGGAGTATAAGTTCACAAATCAGGACTTGTATGTAAATGTCCAAAAAAAATAAAATCAATGAAGTCAATTGATAATTAAAAAATACAATTATTTTTTTTTTTCAAAATATATAGTGAGTTAAAAATCCAATCACAAATTAAGCTAATTAATTGTTAAAAACACAACCGTTTTTTTAAAAAAAAAACACAGTGAGTTAAAAAACCTAATTACAAAATATAATCTAATTATCATCATCAATAGTGCGTAGTTTATGTGAGCCTAATGAATACAATCTAATTTTTTTTCCCCAAAAATCATAAATTAAAAATACAATCATTGTATTAAAAAATAAATTAAGTCCAATGACAATCACAAAATACAATCCAATCATCATCAATCAAACAGAGTGTAAAAAAACACAATCATATTTTGCTGATAAAAAAAAAACAATGAAGCCAATTGGTAATTAAAAAATAATTTTAAAAAAAAAATACAAATTAAGTTAATTGATAGTTAAAAAGCACACCTTTAAATATATATATATATAGTGAGTACTTTCTGTGACCTAATAGATACAATCTAATTTTTTTTTTCAAAAAATATAGATTAAAAATACAATCATCGTGTGATTGTATTCAAAAAATATGAATACAATCTATTTTTTTTCAAAAAACACAAATTAAATGGAGTGCAAAAAAACACAATTAGTAAAAAAAATAAAATCACCGTGTGATAAAAATGGAGTGTAAAAAAACACAATTACATTTTTTCTCATAAAAAAAAAGAAGCAATGAAGTCACCATATTAAAAATTAAATTAAGTCAAATCACTATCACAGAATACAATCTAATCATCATTAATAGTTATGTGAACCTAATAAATACAATCTGTTTTTTTTTCAAAAAACATAAATTAAAAATACAATCACCGTGTGATTGTATTCAAAAAACATGAATACAATCTATTTTTTTTCAAAAAACACAAATTAAATGGAGTGCAAAAAAACACAATTAGTAAAAAAAATAAAATCACCGTGTGATAAAAATGGAGTGTAAAAAAACACAATTACATTTTTTCTCATAAAAAAAAAGAAGCAATGAAGTCACCATATTAAAAATTAAATTAAGTCAAATCACTATCACAGAATACAATCTAATCATCATTAATAGTTATGTGAACCTAATAAATACAATCTGTTTTTTTTTCAAAAAACATAAATTAAAAATACAATCACCGTGTGATTGTATTCAAAAAACATGAATACAATCTATTTTTTTTCAAAAAACACAAATTAAATGGAGTGCAAAAAAACACAATTAGTAAAAAAAATGGGCAAAATGGCCTGCGGCCACAAAATGTAGCCCACGGCCACTGAGAGATGGTCTACTGGACCTCTCCCTCCCCTCAGGAAAAGAAACAGAGAAAACCGAGTCTGGTTCGCAAACCGAGACAAGGCACAGAAGAGGGTACGGAAGTCCGGAGGCAGGGCTCGCAGCCAAGACTCTGAAATTTCCGAACGAGCACATTATGCAACATCACCAAGCGCTCAATCAGTGACGTCTGAGTCTTAAGGTCGGTCAAAAAAGGGGTGTCTACAACACCTTTCCTCTCTATCTCTTTCTTTTGCTCTCTCACTCTTTGTTCTTCAACAGAAGCAAAAAACCCACCCTCTCTATCACAACTGACGCTCCTCCACGTCTCACCCCCACTCTCCCACGTCTTTTAAAGGCTACCCACTCCCCCCCTCTCTCTCTCCTCATCCTTGATTTTAAACTCTCTTCCTTACATAGTCATACAAACCTTCTCCATCTCTGTCCAGCTCTCTGGTTTCGGTTCTAGATAGTTTTTGTTGTACAACCTCCAACAAATGGGTTTCTATTTCACTCTTCAAATGGGTTTCTATCTCTATTGAATAAATTGTTTCTAACATATGAAATGGGTTTTGATTTCTCATGAATATATTGTTTACAGACACTGTTCATCTCTTGAAATGGGTTTAGAAATTAACTGTTCATCTCCATCATGCAGACACTGAAGGTTTTGGTTCTCCGCAGAGGCTGAAGAGCTCGCCGGAGTAGTGGCGGTGAAGAAGGAAGGAGATGGAGAAGGGGAGGAACCCTCTAGAACACCGGTAATGGAGATTTTTCTCACTCCTCCTATTAGTCCAGCACCACCTCTTAATAGCTCTTGAATCATTTTTTTCCCCTTGATCTACAACAATCCAAATATGTATATATATCAGTACATATGTTGAAACAATATATCAGAGGATGGAGAGGATGGTGGTAGTGAGAGAGAGAGAGAGGAGGTGGCAGTTTTGGTGGGTTGATTTTTTGATAATTGGGTTGGGTTGGGTTGATTATTTTTTGTGATTAAAGTAGTCATAAAAAAATAAACACAAATGAAAAAATTAATAAAATAGTGTTGGAATTATAATTTTTCTTCCCTGTTTTTTAGTGGAGACCCAATTATAGTCTAAATCTTCTAAGGTCTGATGCTGAATGACATACCTGAGTGATGATGTCGAAGTAGAATTGAATGGAGGAGATTTTGATGGCACTGCAATATATATGTACTAAGCAAGAATATCAGAGGTAGGATATATACAGAGAAACTCTGATTCTTGAGTCTGAGCATTTTATCAAAGTCGTTGTAAGTAAAAACTGTGTGTTCTCCGTTGCAAACATTACTCATTGACGCAGACATCTGAGGTAGATTCGATTTGTGTGAATATATTATATATATGGATACATGTGTCTGTGTGTGTGTGGCGTTTATTGCCTTTATTTGACCAGTGGCTTGCTTTTGTTATGTAAAATATTAGTTTGGTACTGTTTTGGATGGGAGGGAGAAAAATATAGGAAAAGAAAATGTGATTAATTATTAGTTTGGTACTATTTTGGATGGGCAGGAGAAAAATATAGGAAAAGAGAATGTGATTAATTTGCATTTGATAAAATAGTAGTTTGGTTCTCTAATTTTCATTTGAATTTCCCTTCCACACTCATTTTCAAAGTGTGAGCACTTTCTCTCCATTTTTCTAACAGTAACTTTTTTTTTTGAATGATCGGATGTCTAAGTTAGTTTATGCATACTTCGACTAATCCTGAGACCCAGGTAAAGCGTCCACTCCACATAGATCGAACACATCTCGAGCAAAGTCTATGGGCATGGCTCCAAAAAAATAATAACACTTAATGACAGTTAAACTTGAGACTTATAGTAAATATGTTCTAAAAGCTTTAAAAGAAAAAAAAATTATGAAAAAATTAGACTTTTCAAGAGAGCCTCTAAAATGCATCTTAAAAAGCACTAACTGCTTTAAATAGTGTTGGGATTAAATTTAAATTTAAATAGTGTTGGGGTTAAATTTAAATTTAAATTTAAATAGTGTTGGGATTAAATTTATAATAAATTTAAATAGTGTTGGGATTAAATTCATATTAAATTTAAATAGTATTGGGATTAAATAGTGTTGGGATTAAATTTAATTTTATCAAATTAAAAAATAAAAGTTAAATAGTGTTGGGATTAAATTTAAATTTAATCCGTGTTGGGGTTAAATTTATAATAAATTAAAATAGTGTTGGGATTAAATTTAAATAGTGTTGGGGTTAAATTTAAATTTAAATAGTGTTGGGATTAAATTTAAACTGATTTATTATAATTGATTTCTATAACAGTGAAATTATTATCATATTGAATTGATTTTTTTGTAAAGGATGTGATACCAATATTAATAATTTATGTTAATTGATTTTTTTAAAATATGTGTACCAATATTATTTATACACAGTGTGTTAGTGTTCCCCTTCAATTACTATGCATTTGTCTACACCATTAACATTTATTGTATACAGTTTTTATTTATTTATTTTTATTATTATTATTATTATTATTATTTTATGGTTAATTGATGGAATGCTTTCAATATATTTCAGGGAGGAATTTAAGGATGAGAAGATGGTTGATGTGAAGTCATTACACATCCGAAACTTTCTCTGAAGTTGAGTTTGTTGGTTAGTGCTTTGCTTTGCATTTAACAATTGTTAGGATACTCATATCCAACAATTGTTTCTCTATTTTCTTTGATTGAAATTCATTGATTACCTAGGGACCTGTGTTAAAAAGAAATGTAATCCTAGATTTAATAGTAAACCACTTGATTATCTTTTCGTCTATTGTTATTGGTCAGTTTCAGACAAAATAAATTTAAAAACTATGCCAATATACTATAAGAATGTGATGGATTGCAGCTCTCTAAATCACCATTATCAAATTTTCACAAAATCTTAAAAAAGGGTCAATTATAAATATGCCCCTGATGTTTGTAAAATATTCTCTCTCTCTCTCTCTCTATGGGAGCTTGCAAATATTCAGAGTTTGGTAATGAGGTGCGGTGTTGCCTTTGAGTCAAACTTGGTTCTAAATCATGACACAATGCAATTATACAATTGGATTTGTTGATTGAGATTTTATTTTATTTATTTATTTTTATTTTTTGTCAGTCAAACTTGGTTCTTATGAAGTTATAATTTTATTACCAGCAGTAGCACTAACTGGCGTGCATTTAAGTTTTAATTTCTTTTAAATTGCAGAGCACTGGCTGGTGTGCATTATTTGATATTTTAATTTTTTTTATATTTGATTTACTGATTGTGAGAAGAAAAAAATGATTATAATTTAAATGTAATATTTCATTTTATTAACTAAATTAATTTTTTTTTCTTTATTGTCTAATTTAACTAAAATAACTCATGCCAAATAAGGCCATATTTGTGGTGCTAGGGTAGATATTCTAATCTTACATGTCTCCAAATCCTATTTTTGGTAGAATTATCTTAGAAAAAATTTTTGTGTAGTTGAAATACGGAATTATCTTAGAATAAATTTTTGTGTAGTTGAAATACGGTGCTAGGGCAGATATTCTATTCTTACATGTCTCCAAATCCTATTTTTGGTAGAATTATCTTAGAAAAAATTTTTGTGTAGTTGAAATACGGAATTATCTTAGAATAAATTTTTGTGTAGTTGAAATACGGTGCTAGGGCAGATATTCTATTCTTACATGTCTCCAAATCCTATTTTTGGTAGAATTATCTTAGAAAAAATTTTTGTGTAGTTGAAATACGGAATTATCTTAGAATAAATTTTTGTGTAGTTGAAATACGGTGCTAGGGCAGATATTCTATTCTTACATGTCTCCAAATCCTATTTTTGGTAGAATTATCTTAGAAAAAATTTTTGTGTAGTTGAAATACGGAATTATCTTAGAATAAATTTTTGTGTAGTTGAAATACGGTGCTAGGGCAGATATTCTATTCTTACATGTCTCCAAATCCTATTTTTGGTAGAATTATCTTAGAAAAAATTTTTGTGTAGTTGAAATACGGAATTATCTTAGAATAAATTTTTGTGTAGTTGAAATACGGTGCTAGGGCAGATATTCTATTCTTACATGTCTCCAAATCCTATTTTTGGTAGAATTATCTTAGAAAAAATTTTTGTGTAGTTGAAATACGGAATTATCTTAGAATAAATTTTTGTGTAGTTGAAATACGGTGCTAGGGCAGATATTCTATTCTTACATGTCTCCAAATCCTATTTTTGGTAGAATTATCTTAGAAAAAATTTTTGTGTAGTTGAAATACGGAATTATCTTAGAATAAATTTTTGTGTAGTTGAAATACGGTGCTAGGGCAGATATTCTATTCTTACATGTCTCCAAATCCTATTTTTGGTAGAATTATCTTAGAAAAAATTTTTGTGTAGTTGAAATACGGAATTATCTTAGAATAAATTTTTGTGTAGTTGAAATACGGTGCTAGGGCAGATATTCTATTCTTACATGTCTCCAAATCCTATTTTTGGTAGAATTATCTTAGAAAAAATTTTTGTGTAGTTGAAATACGGAATTATCTTAGAATAAATTTTTGTGTAGTTGAAATACGGTGCTAGGGCAGATATTCTATTCTTACATGTCTCCAAATCCTATTTTTGGTAGAATTATCTTAGAAAAAATTTTTGTGTAGTTGAAATACGGAATTATCTTAGAATAAATTTTTGTGTAGTTGAAATACGGTGCTAGGGCAGATATTCTATTCTTACATGTCTCCAAATCCTATTTTTGGTAGAATTATCTTAGAAAAAATTTTTGTGTAGTTGAAATACGGAATTATCTTAGAATAAATTTTTGTGTAGTTGAAATACGGTGCTAGGGCAGATATTCTATTCTTACATGTCTCCAAATCCTATTTTTGGTAGAATTATCTTAGAAAAAATTTTTGTGTAGTTGAAATACGGAATTATCTTAGAATAAATTTTTGTGTAGTTGAAATACGGTGCTAGGGCAGATATTCTATTCTTACATGTCTCCAAATCCTATTTTTGGTAGAATTATCTTAGAAAAAATTTTTGTGTAGTTGAAATACGGAATTATCTTAGAATAAATTTTTGTGTAGTTGAAATACGGTGCTAGGGCAGATATTCTATTCTTACATGTCTCCAAATCCTATTTTTGGTAGAATTATCTTAGAAAAAATTTTTGTGTAGTTGAAATACGGAATTATCTTAGAATAAATTTTTGTGTAGTTGAAATACGGTGCTAGGGCAGATATTCTATTCTTACATGTCTCCAAATCCTATTTTTGGTAGAATTATCTTAGAAAAAATTTTTGTGTAGTTGAAATACGGAATTATCTTAGAATAAATTTTTGTGTAGTTGAAATACGGTGCTAGGGCAGATATTCTATTCTTACATGTCTCCAAATCCTATTTTTGGTAGAATTATCTTAGAAAAAATTTTTGTGTAGTTGAAATACGGAATTATCTTAGAATAAATTTTTGTGTAGTTGAAATACGGTGCTAGGGCAGATATTCTATTCTTACATGTCTCCAAATCCTATTTTTGGTAGAATTATCTTAGAAAAAATTTTTGTGTAGTTGAAATACGGAATTATCTTAGAATAAATTTTTGTGTAGTTGAAATACGGTGCTAGGGCAGATATTCTATTCTTACATGTCTCCAAATCCTATTTTTGGTAGAATTATCTTAGAAAAAATTTTTGTGTAGTTGAAATACGGAATTATCTTAGAATAAATTTTTGTGTAGTTGAAATACGGTGCTAGGGCAGATATTCTATTCTTACATGTCTCCAAATCCTATTTTTGGTAGAATTATCTTAGAAAAAATTTTTGTGTAGTTGAAATACGGAATTATCTTAGAATAAATTTTTGTGTAGTTGAAATACGGTGCTAGGGCAGATATTCTATTCTTACATGTCTCCAAATCCTATTTTTGGTAGAATTATCTTAGAAAAAATTTTTGTGTAGTTGAAATACGGAATTATCTTAGAATAAATTTTTGTGTAGTTGAAATACGGTGCTAGGGCAGATATTCTATTCTTACATGTCTCCAAATCCTATTTTTGGTAGAATTATCTTAGAAAAAATTTTTGTGTAGTTGAAATACGGAATTATCTTAGAATAAATTTTTGTGTAGTTGAAATACGGTGCTAGGGCAGATATTCTATTCTTACATGTCTCCAAATCCTATTTTTGGTAGAATTATCTTAGAAAAAATTTTTGTGTAGTTGAAATACGGAATTATCTTAGAATAAATTTTTGTGTAGTTGAAATACGGTGCTAGGGCAGATATTCTATTCTTACATGTCTCCAAATCCTATTTTTGGTAGAATTATCTTAGAAAAAATTTTTGTGTAGTTGAAATACGGAATTATCTTAGAATAAATTTTTGTGTAGTTGAAATACGGTGCTAGGGCAGATATTCTATTCTTACATGTCTCCAAATCCTATTTTTGGTAGAATTATCTTAGAAAAAATTTTTGTGTAGTTGAAATACGGAATTATCTTAGAATAAATTTTTGTGTAGTTGAAATACGGTGCTAGGGCAGATATTCTATTCTTACATGTCTCCAAATCCTATTTTTGGTAGAATTATCTTAGAAAAAATTTTTGTGTAGTTGAAATACGGAATTATCTTAGAATAAATTTTTGTGTAGTTGAAATACGGTGCTAGGGCAGATATTCTATTCTTACATGTCTCCAAATCCTATTTTTGGTAGAATTATCTTAGAAAAAATTTTTGTGTAGTTGAAATACGGAATTATCTTAGAATAAATTTTTGTGTAGTTGAAATACGGTGCTAGGGCAGATATTCTATTCTTACATGTCTCCAAATCCTATTTTTGGTAGAATTATCTTAGAAAAAATTTTTGTGTAGTTGAAATACGGAATTATCTTAGAATAAATTTTTGTGTAGTTGAAATACGGTGCTAGGGCAGATATTCTATTCTTACATGTCTCCAAATCCTATTTTTGGTAGAATTATCTTAGAAAAAATTTTTGTGTAGTTGAAATACGGAATTATCTTAGAATAAATTTTTGTGTAGTTGAAATACGGTGCTAGGGCAGATATTCTATTCTTACATGTCTCCAAATCCTATTTTTGGTAGAATTATCTTAGAAAAAATTTTTGTGTAGTTGAAATACGGAATTATCTTAGAATAAATTTTTGTGTAGTTGAAATACGGTGCTAGGGCAGATATTCTATTCTTACATGTCTCCAAATCCTATTTTTGGTAGAATTATCTTAGAAAAAATTTTTGTGTAGTTGAAATACGGAATTATCTTAGAATAAATTTTTGTGTAGTTGAAATACGGTGCTAGGGCAGATATTCTATTCTTACATGTCTCCAAATCCTATTTTTGGTAGAATTATCTTAGAAAAAATTTTTGTGTAGTTGAAATACGGAATTATCTTAGAATAAATTTTTGTGTAGTTGAAATACGGTGCTAGGGCAGATATTCTATTCTTACATGTCTCCAAATCCTATTTTTGGTAGAATTATCTTAGAAAAAATTTTTGTGTAGTTGAAATACGGAATTATCTTAGAATAAATTTTTGTGTAGTTGAAATACGGTGCTAGGGCAGATATTCTATTCTTACATGTCTCCAAATCCTATTTTTGGTAGAATTATCTTAGAAAAAATTTTTGTGTAGTTGAAATACGGAATTATCTTAGAATAAATTTTTGTGTAGTTGAAATACGGTGCTAGGGCAGATATTCTATTCTTACATGTCTCCAAATCCTATTTTTGGTAGAATTATCTTAGAAAAAATTTTTGTGTAGTTGAAATACGGAATTATCTTAGAATAAATTTTTGTGTAGTTGAAATACGGTGCTAGGGCAGATATTCTATTCTTACATGTCT